CAGAGATAAAATACTAGTTAGCAAAACAAATAAAAATATTAAACACATTTAATGCTACCATGGTATAGTAAATGTAGCTACTAATGGGAGTTTATGACTTGGATGGGAAGGATGAGTGTTTCGCATTAAGTTACATATTATCTATAATTTTGCTAAAAAGTATCTGAGAGTTCTTTAATACAGATGCATACCCTGTGTACATATGTGTGTACATGTACATATGATTTTTCTCATAAAGTTACTGAGCAAAGTATTTTTGATTCATAATAGCACTTATTGTCACAGAATGCAGTCAACTAAACTCCTCAATATTTCCATTTACATCAAGTTCAGGCCTCTTCCACAATGACAGAAGTTCACTAGATCAATTATTTCAGGATTTAAATTATGCAAAATTACAGCCGGGTGTTGGTGGTGCATGCCTTTATTCCCAGCACTCGGGAGGCAGAGGCAGGTGGACCTCTGAGAGTCCAACACCAGCCTGGTCTACAAGAGCTAGTTCCAGGACAGGCTCCAAAGCCACAGAGAAACCCTGTCTGGGCAAACAAAAAAAAATAAATAATTTTTAAAAATTATGCAAAATTTCTCCATAAATAATCTTTCCATCACAACACTTTCAGACAAATATATGTCATACACATGTTAATTCATATTAGGCAACAATTACCATAATATTTAAATGTCTGTCAATAGCAAATTCTCAATGTCATCTTTCTTATTAAAGTGAAGGAACTGACTCTGAGCACACTGACTTCTTTTTGTTGTTTGTTTCAGCTATTATCAAAGCTCTCAAAAAAGTGTGAGGCAGTAAAACGTGTTCCCAGGGCATTCAATTTTCCAATGAACAATATTTTATTCATGAAGTTGTACGCATGCACTTGATACAACTGGTGCTGTGATTCATTTTTTTCTCTGTCTTCTACATTTTTCTTTAAACATCAGTTATGGAATTTACACCTAATGTTTTATGTCTCTTTTGTCTTTCTTAAGTGCCCCAAGAACCAGCAATCCTGTCAGTTGAATTTAAAGGGTTCATTCATGAGCTTAGTGTGTTTCTCTACATGCTATTAAATTAAAAAAAAAATCCAGCTTAGCAACAGCATGTATGGAAGCATTTTTACAAACTTGTAGCATGCAAGTTAAAGCTTGCAGACATTGGAGGTACTTGATGGACATTGTGGTTAGCTGCAGAGCTAAATCCCTCTAATGTCAAACAGTGTCTATAATAATATGATCCTTTCTGAATCACTGATTTTATCCAACAGAAGATGTTTTGAGATGGACTAAGTTCAGAGCAAAACAAAGTTGAAATTTTTAACAATTAAAAGTCCACATAATTTTACTTCTCTACAATATCACATAATGCCATATATATTATTATTGGTTTATATGAAAATGAATATATATATATATATATATATATATATATATAACAGTAGGAAAAAGAGAAAACTACATTCATTCACCATTTACATAATACTAAGTACTATGTTTTAATACTTCATTACATTTAGTCCATAAGCTAAATATTACCGGTATGTATATAATGAAGGGAGCATTTAAAAGGCCGGAAAAAGGTATACTTGCTTTCATGGAGGATCATGTGAGGCCAGTCTTCTCTTGTTTCAAAGGTATCTCCTAAAGTAGCCCTCTACACACACACCTCGAACAATAGGTCGACTGATTCTAGTACCTCACAAAAACCTTTCCATTAAACATAATGAAAAGAGTAATTTAGTATTAAAAATTAAAATGCAAGGCCAAATTTGTGTTTATACTTAAAGGACAAAACCACTCTATCAAGTGATTATAAAAATGTCCCATTGTTTACTTTGTTCTGACTGTCACCCACTAACCAACATTTCATCAACTGACTCTCATTCACAGAACACAAGCTGAGTAGGGAGTCAGCATACGATCAAAGAACCAGCAGGAATCGTAAACAAGTTGAAAATACACAGGAAATATTTGATCAAAAACACATAAGGGTCTAGGGAATATATTAACTGAAGTGGGAAAATAGCTATGCGGATGGTTAGAGCATCTTGGGGCATGTGGTCACCAGAACCTCATAAAATAGATGCAGGAGGATTGAAGATCAGCAGAGGAGATCCTCTGAACGTTGGTCACAGGACGTTATTTGGGGCTGGCAAGGCTGCCGGCTCTGGAGATGGAGGGAGGTGAGGCAAAGAGAGGCAACAGATGAGTCCCTCACATTAATAAATGTAAAATGTGGAGCCTACATTGTAAAAATCCTCAAGAAATGCAGCCCTACAAACACCCTGATACTAGGACTTCTCATCTCAGAACTGTGATGTAATAGTATCTGTAGTCTTTAAACTACAGGGTAAAACAGTAGTAAATTATGGCAGCAGCAACTGGAAACTAATAGATCCTTTCTTTGGAAAGTAGGGCTTTTATGTAGTCTTCAGATTGATTAGAGGAAGACAATGAATGAAAGAAGCATGAGGAGCATAAATAATAATAATTAGCAATAATAATCAATAATAATAAACCTTCTTGTATCAGTGAGATAGGTCTACAGGTAAAGCTACTTGCCAGCAAGGTCATGACCTGAGTTCCATCCCCAGACCCCAGAAGGTAGAAGGAGAGAATTAACTCTCAAATGCTGCCCTCTGACTTCCAGCTTCCATGCCCTGACACACAATGAATAAATGTGATATTGCAATCACTGATTTCCTTGTTTGAAGGTTTTGGGTTATTTTGCTTTGTTTTGCGTGTTTGTTTCTTAAGTATGTCTATAAAAGCCCAATGGTGATAGTTCAAAACACCAGGAACATGGTGCAGACAATGTTTGTCATCTTGAAGACTGACCCAAATCACCATAAAGAGTCTTTTAAGAAATATAACCATCAAAGATGACATTAGCAGGGGCTCAGAAAGAATTCAGAAGCACGGTGTTGTAAAGCAGAGGAAAAGAAAAGTTTGTTAGAGAGTAACAGAATAATTATGAGGAAACTAGAACAGTGATAAGCATAGATATTTAACTGAAGATATTTCTAAGCAAAGCCATGAAGGAATGGCTTCATTTCTCCTGTCTAGTTACTAAAAACATGCAAGAGATTACAAACAGAGATACAAAGGCCTTTCTTCTAATAAATCTCATTCCTCGAGGGTTATTACGTTATCAACTCCACTCCCAAAACATAAGATTCTTCATTTAATAAGAGAGGCAGTCTAATGTATGACCTGATGGCCGTTTGCTAGTCCCTTATATGAATACACACTTTAAAGTATTCAGTAAGTAAAGGGTGATGTGGAAACCCTAGTTGTGTGACATGGGGTTACCTTAGCCATTGTGACTGGGGCCTGCACATGGGAATATCGAAAAAAAGACTTTCTAGAGGAAATTGTTCAACGGAATGAATTATCACAGGTACAAATGGTAAACTAAAGATTCTTGAAATGGTTAAAAGCTTGGACTTAAAAGGTAGACATCAATGGGCGGATTAGGTCCCCCAAATTTGACCTCCAGAAACTATGATCACATATGAACAGGAACAATATGGCCAGGGAGCCATGAAAAAGAAGTGGCTCAAGGGGCAGGTTCTCAAGCCCCAGAGGGTTGCTCACAGGACTTAGAGTCTAGTAACACTTGCCCAGAGGAAGCTCTACACTTGAGGCTGGCAAAGTTTATTCTTGTACTCCCTTGCTTCTGGAATTGTGATGTCTGTAACTAAGATTGTCTGTCTCTTTTACCCGAAGACTATGCCTTGCTCACTGGTGTGGAACAACTTCACTTGACTTATCCCTAAAGGGCTCACATGAGACTGGAGGCTTTAAAGGCAATACAGAGTGAGATTTTGAAATGTAATTGATGCTATAATATTTGAGATTTTGAGTAACTTGGGGACTTAATGAAAATATTTCGCACATGGGGAGGACACAATCAAGTCACGTTACAGTGAATGACACACCCCAGTCCTCTCAAAACAGCTACCTTCTATTCATGGAAACTAAGTATGTTACCTTAAATAGCAAAAGGACTTTAAAGACACAATTAGGTTAAAAAAATGCAAATGTAGAAATTTTTCTGGTATATTTGAGTAGGCTCAACATAATAGAGCCTAAGAGGTTCGCTCTAAGAGAGCATACATGAATAAAGCAGAGATAAGGAAAAGAAATGCACAGATGCTATAATGCTGACCTCAAACATATTGGAAGAGGCCCCAGAAGGCAAGAGGCTTCTAGAAGCTAGAAAAAGCAAGGGCATGATTTTCTACTCAAGTATCCAATGAGAGTGCAGCACTGCCAATGCCTTGACATTAAATTTTCTGACCTCTAAAACCATCAAACAATAAATCTATGTTGCTTGAAGCCATTAACTTGATGGTAATTTGTTAAAGCATCTAGCACAAACCAATAAAAATAGCCTCAAGCTTCATGTGGCATAATGAATCTCTACAAATGCATCATAAAAAGTTCACATTTTCATATCGTAGGAACTTAAGAGTGCAGATCGCTGAGGACATGATTCATGAGACACTATACATTAATTGTCAACATCTAAAACCTGATGACATTCTGTGCCCTTGACATTCACCTTGTGGAAATGTACCAACCCCCAAATGAAGCAACCCCCCAATTCTAATAGGATGAAGTTTGCCCCAGGAAACAGAGAGGAAAGTGATTAAATAAATATTCACTGCTAGGAAACAGTCAAAAGTTTTTCCCTATGCATTCGAATCTGCAAGTGAATGAGGAATGGCTCATTTAGACAATGAATCCATCCGGTGTTGCAATTGAGGGCTCTCTTCACCAAGGGCCCTCTCTTTAATTATCTCAACAACTTCATTTTAAAAAAAATTGCTCAAAAGCTACTTTAAGTGATACAAGGCAATGAGACAGTTCACAGCTGGGGAAATAATATTTACTTAGTAATCAGCATGATGGCATGATGCATCCTCTTTAAGACTTCCACAGTCCTCATAGGTTCATGGAAATCACCAAGGAATCATACATAGTAACAAACCCCTTACCTGTGTCACTAGTGGCTCCAACAGCCTTTCCACTGTGAGTGTCCGGATTTCCAAACTTTTTGGATCCCATTTTAAAATGATAGGTGAAGTTGCCGAAGTCATGCTCCCTGCAGGAACATACAATATCCATTAGAAAGAACATTCAAGGACATTTGCTATGACCATGGTGTTCAAAAATGAGTATGTCACCCAATCCTCTAAGGTGCTTGAAGATTGTTTTAGGTACAACTCTGAAAGATCAAGGATGAGAAACCAGAGCCAGTACTGTGTTGTGAAATTCTTGGAACTGAGATATTTTGGAAGATTCCTTAGCATTCCAGTGTATATCAAGACGTGACAGGTAGGATCTGTAAGAACACAATACCGGCAGCAGACTTTCACTCCCAGATACTGATAGGTAGCTTACTTGGGCCATGTCTGGGTAGTCTCTAGGTAGACAAGCTTCCAAGTACTGGATATCTTATCCAGTGTTCTAGTTTACTTTCTAATGCTGTGACTAAATACTATGACCAAAGGTAACTTCAGCAAGAAGACATTTATTCCATATTACATGCTATCCATCATCAAGTGAAGTCAAGATGAGAATGCAAGGCAGGACCTTGACAGAGAAACCGCAGAGGAATATTGCTTATTGGCTTGATCCTGATTCAGTTTTCAATATCTTTTCTATATAGCTCAGGATTACTTCCCTGTCAGCAACACCAACAGTGGGTTAGACTACCTCATATCAATTAAAAATCAAGAAAATGCCCCCGAAGCATAAGTAGGGATCTATCTGGTAGGGACAAATTTGCAATTAAGATTCCCTCTTCTCAGGTGTGTCAAAGTGACAAATAATATAAACTACAATACCTGGGGAAGTGAGATGACATCAAAGGGAACGTTGGTAGTCAAACATCCTACTTTTTCACCCCTTTCCCTGCTTGCTGCTTAAGAACCAAGAGTCTGGCTTCAGTTTCTTGTTATGAAACCACCTCTATTAGACAGCATGAATATGTGTCCATGCTTCTGCCTCATGGGTTATGATTCCCTTCTGCAAAGCCCCTACCATTCTGTCTGTCTTTGGTGCTGAACCTTCAACTCTCTGCCGAGCACCTGCCATGTTATTGTCTGTGCCTGCCTGTCTATGACATGAATAACTCTTCTAATAACATCCTTACCCACAACCATGTGTATCCGTGTCCCTCTTGAACCCACATCCAAGAAATTTCAAGACCCTGACACTACAGAAACATGTCATTCATTTAGTGTTTAGTAAGGATTCATCTGCCATCTTCAGACAAAGGCTTTTATCTTGACCTCATGCAACTTATGCTTTGAAACTAAACATGGCCAAGGCAGAGAATTATGTCTTGGTGTGGCAAATATTGTCAAAAGCACAACCAGAACTTGGAGAATTGGGAAAGTGTCATTACAGCCATAGTGGAGAGACATACAAAGAGTGACTGTGAATAAAAGTATATTCGTTATGGTCACAAATTGCATGAGCCAAGGCATTTCAAAAGGCCACTTGGCAGTTTTCTTCTTAACTGAAACTTCAGGATATCATACACTTTAGGACAATAGTTTCCATCACTCAAGTAGGAAAGATACCTTATAAATGCAGTAAATTTTCATAGTTGAAAATCAGCACTATATCCAGAATCAAGGTAATCTGCATGGTTATAAACCATCAGTTTCTCATAAGCCTATTCATCTCTTTCCAAATCAACCCACTCTCAGATATGAATGATTGAGTCCCAGGTTGCTTCCTCTCCAATCTCCAAGAGGTCAGCACAAAATATAGCTGAGAACTCTGGCCTCAAAAATAAATTACAGATTCCATCTGGGGTATATTTCTCATCAAGAAATTGCTGAATGTATTCTGACATGTAAACACCAGACAGGCAACTTTAGACTGCAGAAACTGAATCTGAAATATTTGCCTTAATACTACCATAAATCAAACTGTTCATGCCTGCTTTCTTCTTTGAATCAAAGTCACAACTCAATTCCATCCTTATAAATCAATACAGATGATTATTCCTACTCAAATTAACACTACAAAGGTCTATCACAGTGGGCATCATGATAACATTCTTCTTCAAGATCCCTCCCTCCTATATCCCACAACTAGCTAATTGTCTGGCAAAAAGACCCAGCCAAATTGCTCAAGAAAATAAGAAAAGGCAAAGGCACAGTGTGCTGGTATTTTATCTCTCTCCAAATGCCATGTTCTAAATAAACTGAGCACAGCGATCCAAGTACACAGATTTAGAACTGGGTTCCTTTACAACAACAATAGCTGGCACTCCCATGCTGCTGGTGCAAAGAAACATGCAGACACTTTACAATTTCCCCATTCACACTAGCAACTGCCACAGGCAGTGCTGACAGGCAGGGTATTCTGCAGCTGGGCATGGGACTTCTCCTGCTGTACAGTGGTAAGGATGCCAGAAGCTCCCGGCATATGTTTTGATACCTTTTTGTTGCACTGATATTGTTACCAAATTTGGTGTCATAGCCTCTGCCACAAGAAGCCAAATTCAGCCATCTGTACTCAAGAAGCCAATTAAACACCCGGGAGTGGAGGGATGATTTTATTACTGAGGCCATGTTAGAAAGAGGGACAGAGAGATCCTGTGCTCCTAAAGAGATCCAGGAATTCTAAAATGGGGCAAAAGTGTAAGTAGAGGTCCACAGATATCCACCTCTAAGCAGTCCAGGTCAAGGTGTGGGCCCATCCACTTTTGTCCATCATTGTCTGAACTTCAATCTCATTCTGTTAAGGTGGCCAGGCAATTTGTTAGAACTGTGTGAAATTTATTTCCAAGACTCTGACTGTTAATTTTCCTTCTACTGTCATGAAACTCCTGGGGAAATTCCCATTTCTTTGGGGTTCCTTGTCTCAACAGTCTGATAGTCTGATTTAAAGACACAAAAGTATCCTTAGACTATCACAAGTGATCCTAGTTCAGTGGTTAGCACCAAGTCCAGCATGTGGAGGACTAGTATGAGAATTGTTTTTCAAATTCTAATAGGACACTTAATGGTGTAGCAGTGATGATAAGAAAATCCCCGTGAGAAAGCCAGACCAGAAGTGTTGAAGTCAGTTTTCTATGATGCTGAAGTAATCATGAAAGACGTAGGCTGGGATAAGCTGGATACAAAGTAGCCATCTAAAATGTCAGCCAAGGTGACCTGAGTTTGTTATCTCAAGCTGGTAGGTTGAAGTAGGTATATCTTAGGAAATTGCTGGTTAGACAACCTAGTTACTTTGACTAGCTCTAGGTAAAAGTAAGAGAAACTGCCTCAAAAACAAACAAACAAACAAACCATAAACAAACAAGATGTAGGGAGAGATTGTTACTGCTCTAGCAGAGGACTAGAATTCAGTTCACAGCACCTACAGCAGGCATTTTTCAACAGCCTGTAAGCACAGTTCTAGGGAATCTGAGGCCCTCTGTCATTTGCAGACTCTTGCATATCATATGTATAGTACATATCTTTACTAATGCACCTGCATTCACATTCACATGAAAATAACCACACTTGTTAAAAACAGACAGGATGTTCAGCATCTGAGATAAATACCAGGCACAGCTGCTCTCGAGCCTCCACCAGAATGTGTACAAACATATGTACATGTGTATGCAACCCACACCAATTAAACAGAGGGTTTCCTTTGTAAGATGGCCATGCTAGTTATATAAGTTGTCAGATCAAGGAAGGCACACAGAGTCCTTTATGGGTGTTCCAATATAGAACTTTATAAAGTAATACACAGGAAAAAAAAGTGCTGGGGTGAGAACCAAAAATGCTAGCACAGTCACCTCAGATCCACTGACCTGGCTTCAAACAGAAAAGAGAAATAAATGCTCCTGAGCAGAACTCAAAGCATTCTGTGAGCTGAGAAGCAGAGTTAGTCACAACCCAGTCCTGAAGGTCACAGGGATATTCTTATTCTAAACATAAAAGAAGAGTTGCTTGTCAAATCACTCAACGTATTCCCCTAGGGATAAACCTCAATCATTGCTTTGCTACACAGGTCATATTGTCACAAAAATGAGAAAAGTTGACATGTTATAAATTCATTAAGAGGAGACTGCAATACTGCTTTTCCTAAGCATGGTGTCGTTACTGGAGTAGTTAGAGTTGATGCCTGTCCCTGGCTGTCCTAACAAGCTGGGAGCAACCACCTGTCCTCAAAAAGTGAATTAAACACATAAATATAGAGAATGCATAAAAGTGAGAGGTGAAACCAGGGTAAGGTGGCTGAGAACAAAGTGACATATACAGCAGGTCCACCTGCAGACTGTTATCACGAGAGGTAGGCTTTAAACAGTGGACAAGAAATTTGCACTTCCAAATAGTTCTAGTCAAAATGTGGTTCAGCCCATCACCATTGTCTGGAATTCAGTCTCACCTACAAGCTCTTTTGACAAGTTGTCACCACTGTATGAAATCTCTTGTAGTAGTCAAACTTGAACACCGGCTGGCACCAGGTTTCAGTTTATTGCTTCTCCCAATAGGAGAGTCCTGGAGAAATTCCAGTTCCTTAGGGTCTACTGTCTCTTTCTTAGTCTGATAATGAAAGGGCTAGACAAGAGGGTCTCGGCAGAATAACTTCTGCACTACCAAGATGCTTACACTGTTTACTATAAAGGTAGCAAAAGGGCGGAAACATTTGGAAGTGGAGACAGAGCTGGGTCCAGAATATTACTATTTGAGACTCCATTTGGGCTAGCCCTGAAGAGGATCTAACAGAGCCAGCCACTGAGCCTCCAGTAAAGGTAAGATTGTCTTTTTCATTTTTAATAGTGGAGATATACTATTTCTACAATGAACATATTTGCCTTGTTTTTCTGAGTACCACTGTTCTATACAATATAGACTGTTCTTATAATGAAACACTTCAAGAGAGAATGTATGGCCAGTTGACATGTCATGAAACCATAAAAAAATTATAGTTGAGTCATCATGCCCATAGTTTTCTAGGTTCACCAATTGGCTTCCACTTCTGGAGTTCTAATGGCACAGGGGAAGACACAGAAGAGAAGAATTAAGCAGACACCGCCAACCTTTTTACATTGCTGTCATTTACAAAGTACTCATTGGAGAAATGAAT